CACTTACTTAAGCTTAGTGTGAAGTCTTCTCTCTGTGGATGTAGTAAATCTCTGGCACTGAACTGGTTGTGAGGAGAGTGGAAAGAAGCTTCCACTTCTTGGAAGGATTTTCAAGTCATGTGGATGTGAAAACAGTGTTTTCTCCATGTGCCATTGAGAACAGTCCCCTCACAACAAGCTCAATTGTCAAACTAGCTTCAGTAGACCCGTTGGCAAAGGGTCATTGGCCAAGGTGTGCTGGGCTGGTCAGAGGCTGATGATACACCAGACAAGCCTTCTGAAGTCTCAGCTGAGTTACAAATGGAGCAGGCTGGTAGAGCTGGACTCTGACCTGCTCATAACTTCTAACCAGGGGTCCATCTCACCAGACCTGCCTTGGAAGCTCAGTGTTCTCCAAAGGAGTCCTCAAACTCTAAACCAAGATGGAGCCACGTTTGGGTTTTTTCTTGTCACTTGTCATTATAGGTTTTCTACTTTCCAACCACTGAGCGAACTTACCAGTGTCTGGATGGCCCTGCCTTTGGCCAGTAAAACAGTGAACCATGGTATTACTGGCGTATTCCTAGGATTGTTCAGAGATATTTTTGTGGGTAGAATGGCCTCAATTTCCTATCATTTCACTACCTAAGAATTTCCTCCGCACTGACTTGCTTTCTCTCTTTTAATAGCAAGAATGCTATAAGACAAAAAAGCCAAAACAGAAATCTTAAAATGCATTGTATATCTAGTCATGGTGAGCAGAATTTGCTTTTCTTCCAAGCAGTTTGTTGACACAGGCTTTTTTTTAAAAGCATTACAAATGTCTTCAAACTCTTTATCTTAAATTTTAGTATCTCCTGGTTTAACACTGTTCCCAAATGGGCTTAGGCATAGGTGGAATCTAAGATAGTTGGGGAGCATTTGTTTCGCATTATCTTACTGGGTTTGGGTTTTTTGCAGTGTCTTGTATCTCTTTTTTTAAAGAAATCTCCTTTTATGCATATTTGAGGAGCCGGAGCGGAGCTGCGAGGAGAAGCTCCATATCTGGGCAGGAAGTCCTGCTGACCAGGCAGCCCAAAAAACAGGCAGCGGCGCCTGTTATGTTTGGCCCCTGCACAGAGATGGAAATGAGTGGCTCAAACCTCTCTCCACTTCTGAGGGAGCAAGGAATAACGCTGTCCTCCAAATAGAGATGTGGCTGCGCTTCCAGTTGTCATGAGGAGACACTGCCCGGAGGGGTCTGAGCTCGCAGGGGAAGGCGATGCAGCAGTCAGTGGATAAGTGCCCCATCCCTGTGTGGAGGGGGCTCAGGTCTGTTTGCCCAGGCTGCTCCTGCTGCCCTGGCAAGGTCTGCCTGTGCCACAGCGATGTCCCTGTGACTTCATGGGGCCACCTGAGCTGCCCTGCAGGCAGTGGTGGGGATGAGCTGCCATCCCAGCACCTTCCCCTCCTGCTGGAGACCTATACCTCCGAGGGTAGGGAAACCTGAGCCATCTCGGGAGCCATGTGTTGCCTCGAAGAGCCTCTCAATTTTGCATCGTTTCCCCTGTATGTTTTCCCATAGCTTCAGACTCACAGCTAACTTGCATGGTGAGGAGCAGTGAGTCGTGCCACTGACACCTGCAAACAAGAGTTTCCAAGGAGATCTGGAGCTCCTGGTTGCAAAGGCATGTGGTCTGGTCCTGGCTAGAGCAGTGCACAAATGGGAGGGCTGGTGACTAGGTCTTCAGCACATATCTGAAGCTGTATGTGGCCAAAGATCAGGGCTAGGACTTGTTTAGTCTTGTTTTAAGGAAATGGATGATCAACTTCTGTGTAACCCAAAGGCAAGGATCACCTGTTGATGCCAATGGGTTTGTTCTTCAAGTGAAATGATAATGGCAGTTTAAGATAAGAGCTGAGACTTTGCTGTATTAAATGTGATCCATTTTACTGTATTTGTTTGGGCTGAGTAAATGTGTAACCCTGGTAAGACAACAGTAGAAGTCCAAAAGCGGTTCCCAGGGTGCTGGGACAGGTGCTGTGCTGGATCAGCAGGTGGAAAGGTGCAGCCTGCCCCACTTCAGCTGGTCCGGTAAGCCTTACAGAGATGGCTTGTGCTGCAGGGTGCCCCTTGGTTTGGAAGCACTTGTGGGACTTGTCCATCCATCTAAGCTGGCTGTTCAGCCCACAGTGATCCCAGCTCTGCCAGCTGTTAGGCTTCAGGATGCTCGCCCTGCCCTTGGCAATGGACAGTCATGCCCAAGCCACTGTGTGGCAGCATTTGGAGTTGGGTGGGTGTCCAAAACAGATCCAGCAGCCTGGATGCAGATCCTCCAGCTAACTGGGGTGATGGGTAGTGCCAGCCTGCTCTGGAGAGCAGGTACAAGGGTGTTCTGAGAGTACTGATTATTCATTAGGGAATTTCCATGGGGTTCAGATTGAGTAAAGAGTAAAATTGGACCTGGGACATGAAGCAGAAGTCATATGACAAGTAGAAAAATCACCAGGCTGAATAAATGACCAAGAAAGGGTCTTGTTAACACTGAAGTAATAAAGTGAAATGCTGGGTTTGTGTATCTGGAGGTCACAGGCTGGTGGCCACCCCCAAATGACTGAGTTCCTGCACTGACATGTGGAGTCTGAAGCATCAGGTTGTCTTGTTGGGGGGTTACGTACTGGTTCTTACTCCTGACAACACTTTTCCCTTTGCTTTCCCCTCATATGTAATGAAACTTCTCCAAATGAGTTTATTTAATCCAGATGTTTGTATTTTAAATAAACAACCATTCATAGTCCCTTGCCTACACTCAGCTTCTGTCTGACTCATTAAGATCGCAGTCAGTAAAAAAACCCATCAGTTAGTAGATATCTAGCGCGCAGTTCCAGAACTGGCAAGATTATAAGTGGTCTGTGCTGGAAACTCAAATGTCTCTATCTGTTCTGGAGATCTGGCACATAGCTGAAGAATCAAATGTCCTATTTTTCTGGATATTAGAGGCAGGGGGGAGTGTGTGTGCACGTTAAGATCATTTTTAAGACTTATTTTTATGAATTCCCAGGGTGAGAGGTCTTTTCACTGGCTTCAAAATATCTGGAAAGACTGCAGGTGAAAAATGAGGTAAAAACTACAGGTGAAAGCCGAGTCACAAATGAAATAGCAGTCCCTTGGGCAAAGTGAGCTGAAATGGGCCACTCTGTACCCTTTGGGCTCTGTGTTTTTCAAGGACTAGCTGCCTTGTATGGGGACTTAATAATTCTGTAAAAAAAAAAAAAGCATGTAAAGGCTTGTAGTCTACCTTAAAATTGGCAAAGCAGTGTCCGGCTGTTTCTAGAACCATCTGCTTGTAAAAGCTTCATCCTTATTAGCAATACTAGGTTTTCCAAGTAAATTAAATGTCTTTCCTAACTGAGTGCCATCAGATAACCTTTTCCTCTTGAAAGCTGCAGAATATGAGTTTGAGTGTTGGAGGGGACCTTGGGGTGCCCCAGGTCTGTGCGGGAGCTTTGGGGAGCCTGGGAGCTGGCGCTGGAAGCGGGACGGGTGGATCCGGGAGGGAGGAGGAGGAAGAAGGAGCGGCTGCCAGTGTGATCACCAGCTTTGCCTCCCAGCAAAAGACCTCTGCTGGGTCGAGCTTAGGGCTGGTCACCAGCAAAGCCGCTGCCTGCGGTGCCTGGCTGCCCGTGCAGGGTCCCTGCAGAGCCTCCTCAAAGAGGAATTTATTTTTTTAACTACCCACAGCACTGCAGAGTGAAGGAGCTGAGCACGTTCTCCCAAACCCTCACTTTAAAAACCTCTGTTCTTCTCCTGCTATTGATCCCTCCATTTGAAAATAGGTGTTGGCAAGGATGGCCTCTGCCCATCCCCGTGTAAAGCTGGGGAGCGCTCTGCCCTTGCTGCTGGGGGGCAGCAGGATGGGCG